AAAGACGCCAGACAATAAGGAAGACATTTGTTCCCAAAAGTCCCTCCCTATTTTTCTGTATTTTTAACTTAAACAGAGTAATACATTGGGGATTGTTCATGAAACAATTTTAATTTTTGCAAGACAAATATTATCGTATGCTTTGCTATACCCACTCATCCTTTTTACAATCATTCATCTTTCATAAATTTGTACTATGTCCCTCTCCTTGCAGTGAACTCTCACGTATCCCACCTCTGAGCTCAGCAGGGTTTATACCCAGTAAATAAGAGGAATCTTAACTAAAAAAAATTAAGCGTTTTCAGCTTGGAGTGTAGGTCCATTTTCAACCAATAAATGTTTTGCTATCAATGCCCTCACTGGCAACACGCTCAGAAACAGTACACTCTGAATCCAGGACATGGTGTCCTTCTAAAATGACTCTGTGTACTTCTGAGAGTCTTAAAAATCATTTTGTTGCTTAGACAACCTAGCTTTACATATTTTTTTCTTCCAGCTGTAAACAGTAAGAAGGAAATTTAGACTAAAACCCATTATTGGGAACAGAAAATCCTTATCCCAGCAGATTTATTTTTTACTTCTTTTCCCTCCCCTTTAGATGACAGGATGAAGAGCTTATATCCAAAACTGATTACACCAAAATTTCATATAAAACTACAACACACACATTTTTATGACAGTGATTTATTTCTCAGAATATTGTTTTACTGTTTTTGAACAAGTAGTAGTATTTTCACAGTCTTTTTTATGTTTCACAAAACTGGCTGACGCGATGATTCCCCAATAACGACAGCAATACCCACTTCTCCTTTTCATGTAAACTAAGCAAATATGAACCTCTTTTCATCAAGTTGTTCAAATAAATAAGTCACGTTTGAGGTGTTTCTAAACTATTGAAATTATGGTGCATAGGCTTTTGATATCAAAAATCCGCTCGTGAACTTCAACCTAATTTCACTCTCCCTGTTCGTTGTAAATACCGAAATCTTTATTTTCATGGAAGTCTTTAGGGAAAAGCGCAGATTTGAAAATGGATGGGAATTATCATCAGAAACAGGCAAGAGGTTATTGTAAAAAAGCAAGGTATTTTGTTGTTGATCTCTGAGGAAGAAGATTTCTCTATAATACTATCAGTTCCAGATAAAAAGGCATTAGTGAAGTAATAAAACAAGCTTAACTTTTTATTGCTTTTAGTAAGTTTCAGAATGGGAAACTACAAACTTAAAGACACCCAGAACTTTTACATAATGACAATACCTGTGCTACATAATAAGGGCAATTGAATTTGACATTTGGAAAGTACACTGCTTCTTGAAAGTGTTTTAATGTAGGGGTTATGTATTCCCTGAAGAATAAAAATGTATTCTACAAATGTAAAGAAATAACATCACCTGTTGTTTTTTTTTGCATAACTTGCATTGGGAGACAAAATTGCAAACAGTAAAAGTCACTTATATCACGATGGGATTGTATTATAGTATGTTTATCAGCATTACCTGCATTACTAAAGTTCTAAACTATCAGGTAGGTAGTTGTATTAGTCAGCTGCAGAAAATTTATCAGATATGTGAAATGTTATCTGGGCCCAGATCAAGCAGTTCAGCTTGGTTACACATGGCTTCCTGGTTTATCATTCCAAAACTTAACAGAAAGATTCTGGTATGAACAGAAGTGCAATGCACGTTGAAAAAAAGGAAGAGCTTCCAGTTGTGTAGTTGTGGCTACATCCTGCTTCTTTTGACCTGCAGATACTCTGGACCGCATTTTAAAAATAAAGTTGGATTTCGTTGCATCTTTTGTGGCTGGGGATGTCACATTTGGAATTCTGAGAGCATATTACAGAAAATTTATGCCATGATGGGTCTGGTAAGTCACAAAATACTCATCTATCCGAAGGCAAATGTGTGAGGTTGCATCCCATCATCCTTCCTTTCTTCCAAGATCTTCTTTACCTCTTTTTTGTTTGTTTGTTTCTGTTTTTCTAGGCAGGTAAACAGATTTCCAAGCTGAGCCCTGGGTTCTGGCAGTCTATAATTTTAATGGTCTAAAAATATGTCCTGGGTGTATATGGGACCCAGAATCTTCATTAATGTAAATCTTATGTTAGAGGATGGCATTCTGAATACAGCAGCTCACTTTTCATTTAATTTCAAAGATCTTCATTTAATTTAAAAGAGTAACATGTTTAATTTTATTTTAATAATAAAATAAAATTATGGGGAACATGAAACGTAACATGCACCAAGGAAGCATCTATTATGCACTTGGTAGTTTTAGGGTGACTACAACTGGGATCTAGACTTCAGTGTAATTATGACAGTTTTTATATTGCACATTTCATTTCCCTCTGATCTCACTATAATTTTTATTGCTCAACATTTTAAATGTATAGAGAGTTAAGGAACATGACCTTGACAGAAATATGCAGCAACTGTTATCTAGGCAAACATTCTTTATGCCCTGAGAAATCAGATAATATCTTGAAGTGGCTACTTATATCCCAGTGACTATAAGAAGGGAGAGAGTATATAGCACAATCAGACTTGCCAGATTCTTGTATAATAGCCAACATAAATAAAAGTAGTTTTAGAACGACTTGTGGAATTGATTTCCTGGTCTGGTCTACCTAGCGAGGCTGACAATATGCTTAAAGATAGGGTACTGCAAGAATTCCTGGAATATTATTATTGTAGGGTAGAAAAACAGCGATCTGAAAGCCTGCCAAAGTTTCCTTTTGCTGCCTCTTATACTAAACAAACTCAAGGGGGATTAGTTTGACTTTCTTTCTCATTTGCTTCAATCTCTGTACTGTGTAATCATTTCTCCTAATCCTTCCTTAGAATGGAGACTTCCTACATAATACAGTAATATATGTATATATGTATTTTGATTATGGATTATACTACCCTAGGGGTAAGAAATGCAATAAGGAATTAATGATAAGCAAGAGTATTGGCTACTAATTTTTAACAGAACTGGGAATTCTGGGAGTTAAAGTCCATTCATCATAAAGTTGCCAAGTTGAGAAACACTGGTTCGAACTATTAATGGAAGATTTCATTATGAGGTGCCACTACGGTAACACCACCCGAACCTTTGTTATTTGGAAAATTTCTGCTTGGGCCCTGCAAAAACAAAAGACGCAAGCTCTCTCCTAATACTCAATCCATGTCTGTCTAATGTCCTAAGACACGGAGGAAGGCAACACTGAGTAACATCTATTTCATAGTGTTTTTAAGGAAAATGCATCAAGATAAAAACAGGCTGCTCTACTGACATAAACCAATTTAACTAATAGAAGAGCTTTGAGAAATCATTTTAAAAGGCACCTCTCAGTGAAAATGCAGGCTTCTACATGGTGCACCCAAAATGACAATAAACATATTGTATAGAAAAGTGAAAGCATTTTCTCAGTCTTCAACATTGTGCCTACCAGCAAGAAGGGACAATGCAATATGGAAGGCATTTGTTTCTTAGTTAGAATTAATTAGCTCTCTGGGGTTATTAAATGACCTTGTTGGCCTGATACTAATAAAACCAGAAGCTGTAAATTTAAGTGAGAGTAATTACAGTCACTATGTTTAAAACTGTTCAAAATTAATATTGAAGAACCATATTACTATAGAATGGATTAATGATAATATTAAGACAACCATTTTAGACAGTTGGAGGGAAAAAGAAAATATATCTCAGCATTCTGAACAAAAATGAAAGAGCTTCAGCATATGAAGCTTGGGTTTTCTGAACTTAAGGACGAAACTACTGCTGAAGCTTCAGAACTCTAGTAAGTAAGCATCCAGATCTAAGTACATATATTTCTTAATTCTTTCAAAAGAAAAACAACATAGCAGTTCCTTTGATTGGGCCCGAAAGTCTTATGGTATGCTAACTGGGTGATAAACATAAGGTAAAGGTAAAGATTTCCCTGTCCAATTGTGTCTTACTCTAGGGTGCAGTGCTCATCTCCGTTTCTCGGCCAAGGAACCCAGCACTGTCCGAAGTCATGTGGACAGCATGGCTATAGGCCAAAGGCACACAGAACACTGTTACTTTCCCACAGAAGTGGTACCTATTTATCTACTCGCATTTGCATGCTTTTGAACTGCTAGGTAGGTAGAAGCTGGGGAAAGGAACGGGAGCACACCCTGTGGTGCTCGGGTGTCAAACTCGAGCTGTCAGCTTTCCAGTTGACAAGCTCAGCATCTTTTACCTCTGAGCCATCATGCCCTGATAAACATATGTCTGATGGAACTTGAATAAGCAAAGAAAACTGCCATATTCTATGTTTTTACCTTTACAATAAGATATAAAATGCTGCTCAATGGCCTTAGTTGCCTTTCTTCAACAAGGCCTCTATTTGAAGCTCAGAGCTATCAAAATGATGTCAAATGTGTCCTGGTGCCATTTGTGTGATGATGTCTTGACACAAATGGCCACAGTTGCTTGCCCTCCCCCATGGATATCTATGGGTCAGTTGCTGACATCTAAAGCAGGCCATTCAAATCTCTTGAGCATTCAGGAACTATAGCAAACAAATTGTTCACCCTAGCAATAAATGGCGCACTCTTCATCTTATTGAGCTGGAAATTGCTCCCACTTACCCAGATTCTTTTATTATGTGTAGCCAAGCCTGATCTTTCTGTTGGAGTAAAATAAGTACATTAAATCAAGTGCAAGTCTTTTATGTCTTCTTTTATGTCTTCTTTTAAGGATATAAATGTTGCCTTTCAAAACAGAAGTTTTCCCAAGGTAAAATACTCAGTGCCTCAACCAGGCAGTTACTGCACAACTAAAACCACCTTCTCTAACTGAGGCGGGAATGATGGAGTGACATCAGTGTCAAGTTACATCAACTGCTACATCCAAATAGAATAAATTCTTGGCACCTAAAACATTGAGACTAAATCAGATCAGATACCACTGATCCATACAACCAGGAATAAAATGTTACAATTCTCTATTTTAGCAGGAAGAAAGTAGGAAAGTCTTATATGCTATACCCGTAGTGTGGTAATTGTGGCGGGGTCTCGGAGGCGTCCATCTTCATCTTTGAGATTGTAGCCCTCTGGTCTTTTATCTCGTTCACTGACTTTCCATAGTTTCACAGTTTTATCTGGAAGAAAATCAGAATGCTTCACTGATTTACTGAATGATTATGCATTTTGTAACAGTTAGGATTTATTGTTACTTATCACTTGCACAGTTCATCAACAGTGACCTTTTTAGTTATTTTATCACTGCTACCATCTTCTATATGGGAGAACGCAGATGAAGAGTCTTAAGAGAACCAAAGACTATGGGAAAATGAGAAATGTGTAACTGAACCTTTGTCAATTGCCGTGTTTTTTTAAAGTTGGCAACTTTATGATATATGAACTCCAATCCCCAGAATTCCAAGCCAGTATGCTGGAAGAAATTCTGGGAATTGAAGCCCAGATATCTTAAAGTTACCAAATTTGAGAAACACTGATCTATTGGATCACATTAATTAAGCAATCTCTTAAGAGGCTGAAGCCCAGAGACCTCTTCAAGTACAGTAGTGGCCAAAATTGTGGAAACCTTTTGGGAAAAGTGTACAGTAGAAATGCCACCTTTAGTTAAGTTTCCACCAATTTTTCTTCTAATTTCTTTATAACTGTAGCCTTGTTCACTTAATAATACTATTTTACATCGCTTTCTGGGCGACCAGTCAACTCTTTGCACCATTACTTTAATTTTATTATGTTTTACAAGCTCACTAAATGAAAGAACACAAAAAAAACCAACCAACTTGATAGCGATCACATAACACACTGACAAATGTCCTCCTCTCAGCTTCAATACATGACATCAACAACTGGATCCTACTGTGATCTGATTGGCTCTCCAAACACTCATGCTCGTTGGCTACAATCACATGAAGGAAAGCTACCTGATATCAACCTAAGCAAGTTGTGCTTCCTTTTTCTGGTTATTTGGCTATAACTTTTCATAGAATACAGTACAGATAATTGAACATACTTTGTTGCTTGGTTAAAACAAAAAAGAACAGTAAGAGACTCTCTCCAAACTAAGATAGTGCACGATCTTCAGATTCTGTGGCATTCATGTCCTATTTACAGATTGTCTCATTATCACCTTAAAACAGAAAATAAATACTGAACATACAGATGAAGAAAAGGGGAAGTGTGGCCATTGAGTTGTATATATCCCTTGACGACTTCTTCTGTAGCCTTCCAGAATCCTTCTGAAGCCCCCTCCAGTTATAACTGACATTTGATTGAAAAAAAATTCATGGCCTGCTTTCTCCTTCCATCTCATTTCTGAAAATTTCAAATCAAGTTTTGAAGTTGTAGACTGTAAATGCAGATCTGCATGAACAAGAGTTCTGATTACAAAATGGGTGCTAAAACTGAGCACCCTGTACGTTGGATATGTCAAGCTAAATTAACTTTACTTTGGTCTAAGAGGAGGAAACAATTTAGACTGAAAGCCAGCACACACAATACTCCATAAAAGCAATTTTGAGTTACATGAGGTCTAACTGCTCTAGCCAAGCTTTGATTGCAACGTATTACACTACAAGTACAAAGGGTAGCAATGTATGCATGAAAAAGGAACCCAATCGTGCTGGCAATTTACTCAAAAGTCAGTTTCAACCCCAGTGATAGGAATAAAACCTGACATTTTATCATTGACTGTGAATCCATGTTAAATTCCACAATTGCCAGCTTGCCTGGCAGGTGAATATTTCCATTGGCTTCATCATTTTGCTGTCATTCTGTTTATTGTGTGCCACAAAGTCCTGTAGGAAAAAGAGCCTCAGGAACATGCGGCTTTTATTCTGAATAATGGTGTTTTCATTTCTCCCTCCTGGTGGGTATTCTATCAGCAGTTTGTCATTGTTCCCACAAGTTTTAAAGACAATCTTATTCATCTTCATTTCTCCTATCCCTGTTTTTCACTTAAGGATTGCAGCTGACTCCCATAGATTCCACTGTATTAACTTATCCTGATAAAAGTTAAATTTTCCCGTACTGTGTTTTTGGAAAAGAATATTAAAGAACATTTACTGATAGCAGTAACGTCTCAGCTATTTGGAGGTCTTCCCAGCATATGAAAACACTTTCTGGAACTGCAAACTAATTCTCCTATGAATTAAAAAAAAACTATTTAAAAACTCAATTAACAGAACATTAGGCTATATAATTAATCTTCATTGTGTTTCAGTGAGTCTTCCCCTCAAATGAGTTTAATAACTCTCAGAATTTTATTACAATGATCAATAGGGTAAATTCTCCAACACAGAGTAAGTTGACGATGAAAGATAATTAGACCCCTTTCCTCTGTAGTAATTAAGTCACATTCATCTTAAAGCACCATCCATCCTGATAACAACACTGGATCCTAGTGACAGTTATGTGAACATAATCTAAGATAATGCTTAGGAAATGAAAACTGAAAGAAGACCTACACAAATACATATATACACAAAATAGGAGATAATTCTGCCATGGTCTTTCCAGCACAATCAAGAGATTAAAAAACCCTTACTAAGTATTCCGTCACTGCATTAGGTATATTAAACCTGATACAATTTGAAGCTGAATCAAGACAAAATTAGAGTGTGCAAGTGATTTTCTTACATTAGAGCAGGGGTGTCAAACGTGCAACGTCACGTGACGAGTCGTGACGTATCGCGGCTTTTTTGCCATTGCCGGCAATGGGGTGGGCGCGGTTTGGTTACGATGCATCCGGCCCATGGGCCGGCAGTTTGACACCCCTGCATTAGAGTTATCAAAGATAAGTTGTCTCCAATCACTGTACTTGTAATAAATTGACCACAAGAAGGCTGAGAATAGAGAAGCCGGAAAGATTCATATTTAGGAACAAATTGATCAGCATTTTTCTGCTGTTGAAGATTTTTTTTTCCACCAGGTTATTGGCAAACCCGTGTTTTTCCATTTTACCCTATAATAAAACCACGCCCACATTTTAAAACCAAAATTATTTGTCTTATCTTAACAGAGATCTCTATTGTTAATCAGACCCACTTTATTAGGTTTTTTTATTAGATGCTCAGTAGACAATGTAGAGTTTTTAGAGGAATCTGTGCAATTTAGTGACCATTAAAATTGACAAGATTCCTTGTTTTCAAATTGACAATGAAATGAATACACGTCACAAGATAATGCTAGAAAATGGCATACTCAAAATTTGGTTCATTGTAATTAGAAGAATATGCTATGAATTAAAATCTTCTGAAAAATCATTATTTTTCTTTTATTGCCGAAGGTAACATTTTAAAGATCTCTTCTCCCTATGAGTCTTTCTAGAGAAAATATCCATATTTTATTGCCAGATCCATACTGGAATCCAGCATCAATGACATAACCATTCAATCTCATATAATGAGCCAATGAAGTAGAAGTCCTAGTTTTGTTGCACAAAGAATTTATATATGCATGTGTACCTATATGTTTGTGTCTGTTTGCACATACAAACTCCCATATTAGGAGGAAAGACAAACTACTGAAGTAGCCAACCAACTAATTAATTAAAGGGGGTAAAATTAAAAGTCTTAGTCCATTTGGCTTAAGATAGCTTGCATTTCCTTTTCTCGTCCTACTATAGGATACTACTATAGATGACATGTATTTTGCATATTAAGTAGTGAATTAATATAATAAACTTAATTGTCATGGAATGCATCATTGGGGGGGGCAGTCTTAATTCTATCTGATTTTGTTCCCTATCCACCACAAAGCCTAGATCATTTGTAAAATAGTAAGAACTTTCAAATTCAATGTTTGTTTACCACAGTTTGATGTTGTGTTACTATATCTTCTCCAATACTTAAGCGTTGCAGGATCCAAGTAGACAAGAATTCCTACTGTGCAGACAAACCTCTAGGTACATCTGTCTCAACTATCCTTCTTCGATAGTTGATCTCTGATCATAACCAGCATCAGATTTTATAGGTAACATGCAAATCAGCAACCAAGGAACATAAGTAGCATAAAATTCCCCCACACCCACCCATATTTCAAACAATAAGGCACTAAATTCGTAGGTACTAAATCCTGAACAAGAACAAGGGCTGCCAGAGGGAAAAGGGTATCAATTCATTCTACACAGCACCTGAAAGTAGGGCAAGAAGCAATAGTAAGCTGGTTAGAGGAAGATCAAACCTGGAAATAAGGAGGAATTTTCTGATAGAGAAAACTATTCAGTAGTGGAACAGCCTGGCTCCCGGAGGCTGAAGAAAACAAGGTAGAAGAGACGATGCTGGGATAGGAGTTATAAGATATGTTGTTAGGCAGTGGACAGCCTAGGACAGTGGTTCTCAACCTTTTTAATGCCGCGACCCCCAACCGGTCGTAAGTCAAGGACTAAACCGGTTGTTAAGTCGAGGACTAAACCGGTCGTAAGTCGAGGACTACCCAACCGGTCGTAAGTCGAGGACTTTCCCTGCCTGGAAGCGCCACGCATGCGTGGTTCTGCCCCCTGCGCCAGCCGAGGCGTAGCTGGCAAGCGGCAGAGACGGAGCAGGCCGACCACCAGCTGGCCCAGCTCAAGGGAGGTAAGGCACCTGCCAGAAAAGGGGGAAAAATGGTGGACAGCCTTGCTTGGCGACCCCCGTGAAATGGTCGATCGACCCCAAATGGGGTCGCGACTCATAGGTTGAGAACCGCTGGCCTAGGACAATGTTTTTCAGCCTCATTAGCCACTTTAATATGTGTGGACTTCAATTCCCAGGAGGCAAGCTATTCCACTGCTTAATAGTTCTCATGGTCAGGAAATTCCTCCTTATTTCCAGGTTGGATCTTCCTCTGACAAGCTACGGGTGCTATGGAAAATAAACTAATGCTCTCTTCCCTTTGGCAGCCCTTCAAGTATTGGAAGACTCCTATCAAGTCTCCCTCAGCCTTCTCTTCATGGTTAAGTAAACATACCTAGTTCCTTCTGCTGTTTTTCAGAGAATTTAGCCTCTAAACCCCTTATCATCTTTGTTGCTCTTCTCTGCACTCTTTCTAGGGTTACAGCATCTTTTTTACAGTGTGGTAACCAGAATTGTGGACATAGAGTTCTAAATGTGACCTCATCAGTGTAGGATAGAGCAGAACTATCACTACCTTTGATTCATCAATACTCCCTTGTTTCATTAATATGTGTGATCATTAATGTGTGATCACAGAGCTGTATAAAGGCAGGAACTCAGTACAAATAAAAAAAAACCTGACCATCTGTTGAGAAGTCCTCTTTACTCCCAAATACTGTATTTCTTAACTACAGATATTCTCCTGAGCTAGCATTTCAGACTGGGCTCAGACTGGACAATGCTTTAACTCTCTGAAGTTACTTCCTGACACAGAATCCTTTGCCCCATGCAACTGAAGTTGGTATTGCAACAACTTAAAAATCCCTAACTAAATCAGGATTTCCTGTGGTCCACTGCTCTGTCAGGACATTAAAGACTCGGGAGTAGAAATACTTTATCTTCCAAAAGTAACACCTTCAGGCATGACGTAAATGTCAAATCAAGTAGCAAGAGCATGTATTCTTCCTTCTGAGCAGAACACCATGTTATGTGCAGGCAGTTTGAGAAATTTCAGCCTGCCAACTCAGTTCTCATCTACTACCCTGGCCTGGTGTTTTCCAGAAGAGTTGGGGCGATCTCTGAGTCCAAGATTGTGGAATTACACTCAACATATCAGAAGATACCAGGCTGAGGAAGCCACCTGATGATATTGTTGTGAGGCTCTGTCTTTCTTTACCTTGTAAATGATCTGAGAAATACGCTTGGGGCATGTTAAGACATATTACAGACAGGAAGAGAGAAAATTCAACATTAGGGATATCTCCACCATAATTGCTCTTCTGTTGCTCTCTCTGGATCAAATAGAGCAATAAATACTTGTCCTATAGAGAGATTACAAGTATGAATGATCACAACCTATCAAAGCAGGGTATTTTGGCTGGAAAGCAAAAAGGTACCTGTTGTTATAACATACCATTGGTGGAGAGAAGGAAATAGGCTGCATTCTGCTGTGGGAGCCATCGTATTTTATTGATCTTTTCCTCTATCTCTAAGCTCTTCAGGTAATCGAACTCAGGTTCATGGCTCTGGAATGTGCTGTAAACATTATATTCTCCCCTGCGATGGGGCTGATTTTTGCTCTGCGGGAGTGGGAAAGAAACATAAAGAGATTCTTAGACGTGCCAGCGCTAGCCAATTTTCAATTGATTCTTTTGTTCTCTGAAGATTGTTAAAAGAGAGGAAAAATGTCTGATTACGGTGACACAGTGCAGTTTGGGTACCAAAGCAGAGCTATTTCTTGCACAATGCCTTCTCCTCCTGTGTCACTTTCCATGTTCCACCAATGACAGGAAGTAGGAAGAGCATCTTTGTTTCATTTTGATTCAAGAATGCATCAAGGTCTCCCTGTCACTCAACTTAAAGACAAGTTGGCATGAAGCAACAATCACTCACTTCAAAGAACAAATCCAACTTGACTGGTGTGCAAAATTCTCTCCCACAGAAAGTACCCAGTTCTAATTTACAAACTAACCACACATTTAATGTAATAAATAATTTCACACAGCAAGGTAAACTTAAATATCTGGAATACAGTTTCTAATAAAAGTGTTGGGGGGGGGACCAATAAAAAATAATAAATGAAAGGACTGAAGAAGATATTAGCAAAATCCTTCTATATTTAGGCTAGTATTGGGCAATAAATGGAGGGGAATGGGAGATAATGTCACTAAAAACTTTCCATGTTTTTACTCTGTAGCTGTTCTTTCTTACTTTGCACTTTGTATATGTTAAAGGCTTAAATAAATAACAGAGTAATAGAAATATAGCAGCAAAATGAACCAAATGACTCATATCTGACTTTTTTTTTCAAAGGAGCAAGAACATGGTATTGAAGCACTTCTGAATGGTACTATCTGGCTATACTGAAATCAGAAATCTGGTTTGTATCTGCAGAGCAGTACTTAAGGTAGAACTAAAACTCACAGTTTCTCATTTTTAGTCTAGCACCTTAACCACTACACCAATCAAAATATAATATTTACTAATATGGAAAAGATTATTAAAATCTGCTTTATTTTATTTGCATATTTAGTTTTTCTTATATGTTGGCATAGATCCAGAGCATCATTCAGGAGCACAATGCACCCCATCAATAGAAACTATAACAAAGCTTGGTATATTATTGTTTCTTTATGTTATACCAGTTTGGGAAGAGTAGGGATCCTGCTAATTAAAAACAAACCAGACTTTAAAAGCATTACAACTAAATTCTCCTTGTATTTATGACATTTCAGCAGCAGAATGAAATCCTCTGCCAGTAATCATTGTTCCAAGATGCAAAAGGATTCAAGAAAATCCAACATTTGTATGGTGTTCTTTAAGAAAGAAGCTGCTGGATTGATCTTAATGGCCTTTTTTTTTTTTCCAATTTTCTGTGTGCTGCGATAGAAGCAGGGTAAAGAGTGACACACAAAGATTAGGAAACAGCAGGAAACTTCTTTTAAAAGGATAAAAATGGGCATTTTTGAATTCACCAGCACTTACCTCCTGCTCACGTTGAAATATTACAACACGACCCCCCTTGTCCCCTGTCGCTAGTAATTCTCCTGTGTGGTTGAATTCTACTGTAGAGATAATGTCAGCTAAAAAGAAAGAGACAAAGGCAATTTAAGTTAACTGCAGACCAGCTTTGCACTGGCATCCCAGAACATCACTGCCTATACAGTTAAGAGGTAGAATGCTTGCTAAGCCTTTGCCTCCCTGGTATAATTTCTATGGAGCACTTAGATTTCCAATTACACTTGATTCTTGTTAAAGGGATTCATAAACATTATTACTGAAGAATACAGCTAGTCCCTCGACTTATAACAGTTCATTTAGTGACTCTTCAAAGTTATGACACTGAAAAATGTGATGTATGACCATTTTTCACACTTATGATCCTTGCAGCACCCCCATGGTCATGTGATCAAAATTCAGACACATGTCAGCTGACTCATATTTATAACGGTTGCAGTGTCCCGGGGGTCATGTGATCACCTTTTGTGACCTTCTGACAAGCGAAGTCAATGGGGAAGCCAGATTCACTTTAACAACTACGTCACTAACTTAACAACTGCAATGATTCACTTAACAACTGTGGCATGAAAGGTCATAAACTGGGGCAAAACTCACTTAACAAATGTCTCACTTAGCAACATACTGTACATTTTGAGCTCAATCATGGTCCTAAGTTGAGGATTACCTGTATTGTGGCTTTAAACTCCACTCAAACACTTTCAGTATGACACACACACACACCTTTCTCCGCTTGTGCTGATGGCACAAGGCCTATGGCCTTGGCAAAGGCCAAATAACTGATTGGAGGAAGACACTGATTGGCCAACAGCTTACTAACTGTTCTTCACTTAAAAAAGAAAAAAAATCAAGGCAGTATATATTTATAGTACTAGAAAGAAACATGCCATCTTGGAATAATCATTTTGCTTGTTTTAAGATGCATAGGTTTAAGAGGATGAGTTGTGAATCTTTCTCACCTTAACTAATAATTACTGGAACAACTCAGGATCTAAAACAGCACTAGAGACTTGTATAATTATGTCACATAGGACAGAGTTCCCCAACGTTTCTGGCTTTGCAGACTGGCGGGAGGGGGGGGAGAGAAAAGAGGCAAAAGTTCTGTGCGAGCAGCCGGCAAGCGCACATGCACGCATGCAGCTCTATTTTACAAGCGGCATGGACGCACGCCTGCCGCTCACACAAATGGAGCATGCTTGCCCGCTGCTCAAGCAAGTGAGGATGTGCGTGCATACACACGTGCTCGCCAGCCGTGTCCACGGCCTGGTTGCAACCCCCTTGCGGCCCACTAATGGGCCGGGCCCACAGGATGGGATCCCTGACATAGGAGACTTACAGTTTTGACTGGCAGGTGGAAGCCAAATTCTCTTTTCTAGCTCTTGAATTGCAATTGACAGAAATGTGATTCCACAGAAAGGGTCAGCATCTCTCATAATAGATTAATTTGTTTCTACTACAAATTGACTAATAAGATTCAGTAACTCTGCCAGCACATATCCTATTCCCTGCCTCAACACCATGAAACAATATGAGATATTTCGTGACTCTTCTCATTTAGAGCATCAGGAAATAGCAACAGGTAACTAGAAACTTTGTAATATTAAACCCTTCTTTCTTTTCCCACTGTTTTCCATCAGTTGGATCCACTCCAATAGAATTGGCTTTCAAAAGATGCACTATCCTGCATAACTGACCTATTCATAACCACACACAGGACATATACAGTATAGGCATGCAATGTTTCAAATTAAATTCTATATTAATGGCACAATATGGACAGGAGCGCATTACTTTTTTATTACAACAGTGAACAAATAATCTCTCCTCTCTCTGGAGTAGCCTCTGGGTAGGTCTATCATTTTCCAGTGGGAAGAATATCATAGGTCAAAAGAAGAGTTGGCCTCATTAGGGACACTCTGATTTCACAAAATAAATCACTTGAGGGACTAAAAGGAGTGCATGTTTGCCTTCCCTATTTGTCCTTCTCTCAATTCCTATTGCACCAATGTCCCCAATCTTAATGAAGGATAGACAAGAAAGCATCAGTCCTGGGAAAAAGTCCAGAACTGAGAAGAGAATAGAAGTTGATGAAACAAAGGAAGAAAAATCCTTTAGATGGAAAAGAAAGGCCAAACAAAGAGGTTTGATCTGGGATTTTCCAGATTTTGAATTATTACTGAAGTTCATATAAACCATCTAGCTGCACAATCTTCAAAAGGTAAAGAAGTAGCACAATTACAAACACACTCATTCAGAAATTAGGTCTCATGGGTTATCTTAGTTTTAAAGTTTCCCCAAATCCATGCATTCCATATTTTCTTTTCTTCTTTTTTTAAACAAATTTTATTGGTTTTTTAATTCTTATTTTCTTATATTGACAGTTCAATGATGCTAATGCTGATTTTTTAAAATTATGTTTTTGGACAACTCATACCTAATACTTCTGTTTCCTATTTTCCCACACAGCAACAACCTGGTGAAGTTGGCTGAGCTGAGAGAGAGTGATTGGCCCAAAGTCAAGGAACTGGGTTTCATGCCTAAAGTGGGACTAAAACTCACTCTCCTAGTTTCTAATCCAGCAGGTTCACCACTACACAAAGCAGTTCCTCTTTTGCCACATTGCCCAGTCCTCAAATCAGTTCCTAGGTCATAGGTTCTAGAAATCCACATGGAGAGAAGTAAGCAGTAGGGTACCACAAGGTTCCGTCTTAGGCCCAGTACTCTTCAATATCTTCATAAATGACTTAGATGAGGGAATTGAAGGGGAGCTCATCAAATTTGCAGATAATACCAAACTGACAGGAGTAGCCAACACCCCAGAAGACAAACTCAGGATCCAAAAAGATCTAGACAAACTTGAACAATGGGCCCTATCCAACAAAATGAGTTCCAATGTGGAGAAAAGCAAAATCTTACAGGAAAAACCAAAGGTACAAATACAGATTGGGCGAGACCTGGCTTAAAAACAGTAACTGTCAGATGGACCTTGGAGTCCTAGTGGACGATCACTTGACTATGAGCCAGCAGTGTGCAGCAGCAACCAAAAAAGCTAATACAATCAGAGGCATAGAATCAAAATCACACAAAATATTAGTACCGCTTTATAAAACCCTAGTAAGACCACACCTGGAATACTGCAGCCAATTTTGGGTCACCATATCACAAAAAAGTTGTTGAGAGTTTGGAAAAAATTCAGAGAAGAGCAACTAAGATGATCAAAGGCCTGGAGACTAAAACATATGAAGAACGGCTACGGGACTTGAGTTTGGCTAGTCTAAAGAAAAGAAGAAATAGGGGAGACATGATAGCAGTATTCCAGTATCTGGGGGGGCTGCCATAAGGAAGAGGGACGAGAAACAATGGTTGGAAATTGATCAAAGAGAGAAGCAACCTGGTATTAAGGAGAAACTTCCTGACAGTGAGGACAATCAACAGTGACTTGCCTCCAGAAATCGTGGACACTCCACCACTGGAGATTTTTAAGAAGAGACTAGACAATCACCTGTCTGAGATGGTATAGGTTCTCCTGCTTGAGCAGGGGACTGGACTAGAAGACCTCCAAGGTCCCTTCCAGCTCTATTCTATTCTATTCTATTCTATTCTATTCTATTCTATTCTATTCTATTCTATTCTATTATTATTTAGTACTGACGCATCTTTGCAACTTAAAATATAATGCAATATATTATACAACTAAAAGAAAAACAAAGACTCTGATGCAGACAAATAATGTGTTTTTAAAAAGCGACATGGCAAAGGGTTTGCACTGCGTCAAGGTAAGCAGGAAACCTGCTGATGAGTAGTTTTATCAGAGCTATTGTTAGGGGAAAAAAAGTCAGAGGTTAATTTTACTGCAATTACTCCCTCTCTGCCTTCAGTGATTACGTTCGAGTGCAGATTTTAGAAAATGCGAAGCATGACTGAGAAGGGACAGAGAAGGCTTCAGAGGAAGGAATACTGCTAACTATATTTTCTTTAAAAAACAACAACAACGAAGCTTTCACACATTCTGAACCTTTGGCATCCGTCTTCACTGTGAGAAGACTAGATCTGATGGTGTTACTTGTTTTAAATCCAGTATTTACATAAGCTTTTCCAGTTTTTTTAGAAGTTTTCAGTAGTGCTGCTAAGAGAAGCATAAATATCGGAGTACTGTAACTTTCTATAGTCATGCCTAATAAAAAGACTTAGAAATGCAATCATAATCTTGAAATGAGATATGCATAACCTTTGGATGCCAGAAGGAAACAGAATGTGTGCATTTTTTGTGCATTTGAAGTCATGGGCTGTTTTGGAGGTAAGACTAAACTATGATCTGTGTGAATAGCACAGCCTTGGTTGTACACGAATCCCTCTTCTTTTCTGCCTAAGATTGCTGCAAAAAAGAAGAAAAGAGAAAGGTTTGATTTTGGATTTGATTGAACTAATCAATTGAACAATCCCTTCCATCCAAACTCAGATAACTGCAGCTATTCATACTATAGGAGTCATTATAGGCTTGGAAAGAATACTGGTTCTCAACATTAACTGCAATCCAACAATAATAGCCTAAAGAATCATAATATGTGCTTGTTTGCACACTTACTTACTTGATAAGTACAGCTGCTCACCTCACATTTACTCTAGCTGGCTTACAATAAAACAACTAAAATCCATAAAATACAAAAAACAAAATAAAAACACAGATGTGTGTGTGTGTGTAAATATGTATACACACACAAAACGTAAGTAAGTATGCATTTAATTATTCTTGCCAGAGTTATATCTTAATTCAGAAAAGAATACCAATAAGCAAAACAATAAGATGCTATTTAATACAGTACCACTTCCCATGGTCACAAAAAATTGTTTTACAAGGTGATTTTTCAGTTCAGCCGTTATATTTCATTCTAATTTCCCAAGCAAGTATTTTTCTCCTCAGCTGGTAGCTTGTGCTGCCTTGTTATCAGAGGGCTATTTCCGTAATGCTAGTGTAAAAACCTTTGCAATGCCGATTCTTATATGCATCACATGGAGCTTTTTCCCCAGAATCTTGCTAATTCTCCAAATATAAGAAGCAAGAGAC